CGAAGAAATCCAGGAAGCGCTTGTAGTGAAATACCGCATTTTGCCCAACCATTGAGGCATTTTTGCCTAAGCATAATCAGTGAAGGCCCTTTGCTCATGTCCCAAAATGCTGGAGAGAGTTGAAGTGAGACATGATACGTAATTCACGATTTGTTGCCTTCCGCGTACCCCTCCTTCCCCTTCGAAAGACCTGGTGCTGAGCACCGATGTAGACAACATATTCTTAACTAGGGCTCATTCATCCCTATGTGCTTACATCAGCCGCAGATCTCAAAGAGCCTTGCATGATCTGATATTACTTGTAAAACTGTTACAGAGGAGAGGGGATAAGGAGTGGAGAGGGGGGGAGGGGAAATGAGGGGAAGGGGAAGGAAGGGAGGGGGAAGAAGGGTAGGGGGAGGAGAGCGGATGGAGGGGGTGAGATCATTCTTGCGCCTACTAAGATATAATAGCAAAAAAATTGATTTCAGCACTGGCTAAGTGAAACCAACTATTAACCTCAACAACCACTTTGTAACTCTGAATATATAATGAGACTCCCCATGTTAAAAAAGTATCGGCTTCCAAGGTCAGTTTCACTGGCAAAGCGTGTTCTTTGAAAATCACACACCCCTTTTCTATAAATACCCATTTACTAAACTTTATCAGACATTCGTGCTTAACAATTCTATTTAAGTTCAAAGTTTGTAACAAATGTTGCAGGTCAAATTCGATCACATTCCGAAGGGCACATACGTAAGTAATTTCGAGCATGATAAAGTCATTTTTCACTGTTACTTCAAAACTTCTCACATATTCTAAAACAATAGCGAGGACAACTTATTTTTAAAGACTAGATTTAGCATCATTCTTTTACTTTCCTGTTGGAAATCAATCATTTTCATGAATTCAAGTAAATCCTCTGGTTCCGATTCCACGATGTATAATCCGCCCCATCAAAATGACATGAAACAAACAAATGTACGTGTAACGGTATGACTGTCTCTCTCCCTACCTATGCTTAGAAAGACAGATAAGACAAAGAGCAAAAGCTTTTTTCTAAAAATGTTGAAAACAACACGGAAATTGTCCCAACTGCTAATGGACTATATGAGCTAATATTTTGAGAT